GTGTGGATGTGCACCTCGCGGTGTGGATGTGTACCAACATAATAGTACTGCCTTCCACCCTCCTCATTTGGTCAGTACCTTCACATGGGAGAAAACAGCTGAAAATTTTTCTTTCTTTTTCTTTTGCAAAAAGAGTTTTATTGAGATATAATGCATATACCATACAATCTACTCCTTTAAAGTGTACAATTCCATGATTTTAGTATCTTCACCAAGTTGAGCAACCATTACTAAAATCTAGTTTTAGAACATTCTTATCTCCCCCAAAGGAATTCTGTACCCATTAGCATCTACACCCTATCCCCACCCCAATCTCAGCAACCACTAATCTACATTCTTTTTCTGTAAATTTGTCTGTACCGGACAGTTCATATTAATGGAATCACACAATATATGATCTTTTATGACTGGTTTCTTTCACTTAGCAAAATGTTCTCCGTTCAACCACGTTGTATCATGTGTCAGTAGCGCGTTCCTTTTTATTCTTGAATAATACTCCATTGTAGGGATACGCCACATTTTATTTATCCAGTCATCAGGTGATGGACACTAATAATTCCTGCTGTACAATTTGATGTGGAACTGGGTTGTGGGTCTTCACTCTGAGTTTCTCTAAGAAGTTTCTATTGACTTTTATTAGCTCTAAGCCCATTTATAAAAACGTCTCTTGGGGGAATAGATAATAGGTAAGACCCTTGGTACACTATGCCAGAGAGATCTTGAAGGAAGTTGCTAGGTAGCTCCCATTGTAAACAATGAGAAAACTGGACAAAATATAGGCAACATATGTTTTCAGACCCTGGAGAACAGATCAGGCAGGACTGTGATCCCTGAGAACACGGAGCCCAATGAGGTGAGTCCTGTGATTGCCTGGATTTCACCGGGAGCTGTTTGCCAGACTGTGGTGCAGGGAGGGAGGACCCAAGCTGAACACAACCATTTCACTGAGCTGAAGGGATAAAGGTCAGAGTTCAGGACAGCCGAATTCATAGGGCAGAGTACCAGAGAGGAGAAAAAGGCAGAGAGAAATAGCTCCAGACATCTGCATAGGGATTCCCATGAGTCTGTGGCAGAATAGGGTAAAATTCCACAATCTGGGCAAGGAAGAACTACTAAAGAAAGAACAAGGGTCAGGGAGCTTCTCAACGGAACAGCTTGCGGAGCTCGTTCAGGTGGAGGGTCCCTGCTGAAGGCCTGGGGCATTCAGCGAGTCCCTAGAAGGCTTATGCCATAGTAAAAGGGAAAGTCGTCCTAGAGCAGCGGTTCTCAACCTTCCTAATGCTGTGGCCCTTTAATACAGTTCCCGTGGGTTGCGACCCACAGGTTGAGAACCGCTGTCCTGGAGTAAAGGCTGCCCTCACAAAGCTTAGCACAAGCTTTAAAGAAAAATCAAGCTAACCCACAAGTAACTACCTCACTGAATAAAGCCCAACAGTCTTTAAGTGAGACCAACAAAATCTCCAGACATTCCACAATATAATATTCATGGTATCAGCATCCAATAAAAAACTCCTGAATATGCAGAGAAGCAGGAAAGCGTAGCCCATAACTAGAAGAAAAATCAGTCAGTAGAAGCAGGCTCAGAAGTGACAGAGACGGAATCTGCAAATAAGGATTTAAAAACATCTGTTCTGAATATTTTCACAAAATTAAAGGAAACCATGAACATAATGAAGAGAGAAATGGAAGATGTAAAAAAAAAAAAAGAACAAAACAGAACATCTAGTGATGAAAATACAATATCTAAAGTAAAAATTTCACTGGATAAGATTAACATACAGATGATTAGTAAGC